GATGCGTGGGAAGACGCTGTTAGCGGGTAGATAAGCGAGGTGGTGTAACGTTATAAGAATGGAATAAAAAGAAACGGGAGGCTGCGAGATGAGGCTGTAGAATTATATCATGGTTGTAGGGTGTACACACGTGACCCTTGGAATTTCGCAATCTTGCCACGAGTTCCTGCATCTGCAGGGTAGCCAGACTTGCTCGTCCATTTTACCAATTAACCGCTCCCCAAGAGTGTCCTGGACAACCCTTGAGGTGCACGTAGAATAGAAATATGACGGTCCAGAGAAGAGAGTCTGGTCGTCTCTCTCTTGCTCTAGGTGCCTGTGCGCCCAGCATCCCTCTCAATCTCTGTCCCACTCCCACTCGTGGTTAGAGTAGACGGGGCCGAGAGTGCGCAAATGTGCGAGGGGCTGTTTTCACCCCCTTTGGTCACTCCATTACTATACGCTACTCTCTTTGGTCCATACCCTCACTCGGTATCATACCTCGAACCCGTCCGCATTATAATTACATCAGTCCTCTCTCTCTCTCTCTCTCTCTCTCTCTCTCTCTCTCTCTCTCTCTCTCTCTCTCACCCTCCCTCTCTCTCTCTGATTCTTTTGCTCACTGGAGAGCTATATCTACTGCGCCACTGGCAGCGTGTCCTATAAGGACATTTGACGAATCTAAGGACCATATTCCCACCCATAGAATTTTCTAACTTAGACTTGCGGAATAATACAATCTAGGGATTTTCGCATAGCGTACAATAGATACCAATGTTAAATACTGTCCTGCGCCAGAAATCGCTCTGATGAAAAACCAAAGTAAAAAAGAATCGCTAGTCCAATGGATAGCACTATTTTCTCAGAAGGCAAGATCAGAATTCCCGGATTCGTCCTGGTCGAAGCTCTTAAACGCGATACCATATCGGGCCTGGTGGATGCTGGAGAACCGTTGGGGTAAGCCGACTGCAACGAACCATCCCCCATTCCACCTCGGACAAGATACGGAAGTTTCCACCAGCGAGAAAACTTTTGAATATTCAATACGTCCTGGGATAGAGAAAAGGAGAAAGAGAGACTAGGATGTGCAGGATCTTTTATCCATTTCCCGCTGGTTCCTTACCTAAGGGATGCTGAGGTACAGCGAGAGAGGGACCAGTGTAAGAGAGTCGAGTGTTTCATTTTTCTTATTTCCTCTCTACGAGTTACTCTGGTAGTACCTATATACAGATATATATAGGTTATATATACGTATATAGTAATACAGCGCTAGTAATTGTGAATCGCGCGATCCGTTTGAACCAGCTAACGTTTGCCTTACGCGACTGTACCTCCCACCACGGTAGCCGTGACCCGCGAAAATCATTCGTTCTGATTTGTGCATCTTAAATGCCTCCCATTTAAAAACTATTGCGAATTTCGAAAAACACTTTGCTAGAGGGTACTCGGGGGACTTCCTGCTAGCCTCCACTTGCTCCTGTAAAAGTAGTCCTGGGCCAGCCTAAAAAACTGAACATACTGGAACATGGGTAGGTGTACGCTGGCCAGGATATCTCTTATTCCCAATGCGTCTCAGATCCAAGCCGTATCAGCCGTATCAACCCCATTGGCCCCCACTCCGACAACCCTTCGCTGCCGCTACTGGTTCTTAGGTTTTGACGCTTCCCTTGGGAGGGCCAGGGGTCTCCACGAGGGTTAGATGTTTTTGGATGGATCGATTCGAGTCTACTTCCACTGTGCAAACTCCTTCCTTGAGGAGGTACCTACTTTACTGAGCTGGCGACGAGTCAACGGAGCTACGTAGGTTGATATACATACAGGATCCGAAGAACTTTCCTCGATGCCTTTTTCTATTTCTTCTTCGTCTTCCTCCTTTGCCTTCTCTGCCCAAGATTCGTTTTCTCCTCCCGTAACTGTAGATCTACGGGGATCTGCCTGGACCTCCTCCGGCGCTTCCTTCCAGTAACGAAGAAGATTGGAATTGCTGAAAGGAACTCTTAGACAAACCGTCCTCTCGACATTCATTTAGTTTTCGAGTTCGTGCACCGATTCTACTTTGAGATAGGGAAAATGATGAAGACAGGAAAAATTTTACGAATTTTAACTAGGTACGCACGTGGAACCTTGTGTACTTGTTTCACGTACCCATTAGACAGATGAATTTTTATGGTGCTGGGTTGGTATGGTAGAATCAGAGCACGTAGGTTAGGTACGTACCTAGGTTGGTATCAGTAACTAGGTACTCAGGGAGAAATTCAGTGAGAGTTCTCGCTGAGAGCGAGCCAGTAATCGTAAGGGGAGCCATTGGGGGTTCTTCCGCGTCTTATCGAGGTCTGAGAGAGAATCAAGCTGGATCCTGAAGAGACGAGGGAACGTCGTCCAATTGTCGCGATAACGTCATCAAAACGCATCAGCCTTGGCCGGATATGACCTCATCAAAGTGCCCCAATGTATCCGCTTCTCAGTTCAACAGTCTCCACGAAAACGGAGCTCTGGCGCGTTTCTATCGAAGCCAGTCTCGTCCCTTCCAAAGTGGACCCGGACGTAGTTGCCGCAGTGTAGAGTACAGAGACACAAAGGAATTAATTAAATATATGATAAATATTTATTTAATCCATCCCGGTCAAGTGCGAGTGATCATAAAAATATGGACACCCCAAAAGCAACAACCCTACCTTCCCGTAACGCGGTGGTATAAATAAAAGAAGTCCTGGCTGAATGCTGGCAGAAGAAAGGTAATAAAACCGGGTGAAAAGCAAGCATAGAAATTGCCAAAGAACAAACGCTCGACGAAGAGAATCGCCGCTTGTAAACCCAACCCGAAGTACGAAGTTGGCTCCGTATCGATTTCCGTTTTGGCCCAATAACGTTACTTCCATTTTCACTATTGCACCAGCTACCGCTGAAAGGATTGCCGGGGTTATCTGCTCAACAATGGCCTCATGCATAAATACGACGTAACAATAAACAGAGTCGTGGCTGAAGAGGCGAGGGGCAGACTCGAAAAGGCCACTGATAGCCAGAGGATCAGAAACCGATATGAGATTCGCAAATGTATGAATGATGTATCGCGCCGCGAGGCTTCCGCCATTTTCCCTGCTGAGCTTCTTCTCGGTTTCTCAAATACATGGCGATTGTGATATATCGACGGTTCGGCTTCGCCGACTAAGCGTTCCCGTGGAGATATCGGCCTTTCGGTCCAGCCTCCCTCAGGATCCCCGGCGCGACCAGCCCGGATCAGTCTTGCGATTCGCACCAAGGGATGAAATCCTCGAAAAGTCTCGGAGAGCCGATAAGATTAAAATTCAAAATTATCAAAACCACCGAGTGTGTAATCCTAAAATATTTCTAGGTTAGGTCTGTATTATACCTAGATCCCGATCCCGTTGGCCGACAAGTGAGTGACTGGATCGAGGGCAGGAGACGAGGGTTTGCCGGGAAACTTTCGTAAAATCGAGATCTCCCCGGCGTGCTAATTCAAATCCATTTCTAAGCCAGGAAGTTCAGGCCGACGAACAGGAAACGCTGACGGAATCAGGCTCCGGTCCTGCCCAACGCGAAGAACTTGCTCTGCACCCCCCGAGGAGAAGCCGCTTCCAAGAGGAGCTAACCGTGGGATCTGGGGTCGTACGAAACAAGCGCCATTAATTAGCGTTTGGGTCGGGTCAGCTTATTCTCGTCACATAACCAGCCGAAATTAACAATTTAGGGGTCCGAACCAGTAATTGTATTGTGGAGGGAACTTGTTTGCCAATGTAGCTTTCGCGGAAGGACGTTACCGTGGCTTTGAACCTTTATCTTCTATTCATAAATAACATAATTAAACGATACCAGACGCGATTATCACAGCCTGGAACAACGCGAAACTCAATCAACCGACGATAATGACAGAGACAATGATACGTCCTAATAATACAGCCTTTATTATATCAAAAACAATAGGCAGCCGCATCTGTAACGGGCTGATAATCCACTCGCTGTATATGCCCCTAGACCCACCCTTTATTGTTCGTATACGACCAACTCGTACGAGCACGTGTGATGCACGTTAGCCCAAAAATTATCATTGCGGATCATAAACCTACAGTCAGATCCAACACTAATAATACAAAGCGTGCGTTACAACCTAAGCTTTAAGTCAAGACATTTCAACTTTCACTTTTAAAGCTTTCACTGTAGCCCTCCTGTACTTTCCTCATCACCATAGTTTTACGGCCGACTAACTACGACCACCCTCGATCCATCCAGTCCGTCTCCTACCATTGACTGGGATCAAGATTTCGCGAGTCAGGATAATTCTGGTGTATATATATATATATTCCTATTCCATAGTTATACTATATATATATATCTCAAAATACAAAGATACACGCACTACGTAAAAAGGCCATAAACTTAAATGCGCTACAAGAAAACGACGGACGAGGAAAGTGCAGTAATAGTTTATGAGAAGAGTCGTTTCTCGCGCAATCATGGTAATGCTTAGACGGTAGTGTATATATATTTTTTTTTTTTCATTTTCTTTGCTGTTTGAATAAATAAACGTCTTACTTTTACCTTTGCGAACTACTCCGTCTCTCAGGTTCTTATCTTACTAACCAATTTATCGTATCACCATGTCTTCTTCAGGTACTTCGGGCTCGTCGGGTACGCCTCGGTAGCCAGGACTAAGTACTTACCTGCACGGCTTACATACGTACGTACAATGTATGTATACTTATACGTAGTGCAAAGTAGCTGCATTGCTGGCAGGCTTAATATTTCCACACAGCAACACAAACCCATGCACCCTGTCGTCACTAGGTATTCGGTTATCACGGTCATCCTCGTCGGCAGGCTGATCTTGATTCCCTTTGAGGAAGAATTTTTAGTGCGAAGAGATGCCAAATTTGAAGTGAAGCCCGTACTGCACCGCAGCAGTGCTTTTTTTCTCAAGGCGCTTCTCTTTCGGATTACGTGTACGGGGTACGAGACATGCCGGGTTACGATTTTACTTGGGTATAACGAGAGTGACTGGCAAATAAGAGGAGAGAAGAAGTCAACTTTATTTACCGCGTACACAGAACTCTAGATGCGAATTAGAGTCTTGTAAACTCTTACGACGGGTGACGCCGGTACATTCGCGTAGACGCAGGCTTGGCTTGCTACCTTCAACGTGTATATAGGTATATACGTATTGAGGGTGTCTGAAGTAGCAAAAGGGTTGGAAGTTTCTACCATGTAAAGTAATTAACTACTGGCAACCGTTGACAAACACCTACACCTTTTACTCTCTTTATCTTACCCATTGAAATAGATTTGCAGCTGTCTCACTTTCTCCTTAAGACTTGTTTTACCTACCTTCTCCACTTGGTTATAGTTTACTCTCTCTCTCGTATTTCCTTACTGGTCCCTCTAGCGTCCTTCTCTCAAGTGACGCAGCTTCCCGCACTTCTTCCTTCAGTCACGTTTAAGAGCGACATGAATTTTGTATTTTTAATCAGTCTCCTTTACTCTCGCTACACCAAGACTAAGTTTCCCCATTAAGCGGATAACGTGTTTAGCAAATAATTAACAAGTTCAAACAATGCCGGGTAAAGGCGTTCTGATTGTCACTTTAAACTCGAGGAATCTCGGACAGTCTTTTACGCGCGTTTAAAACGTAAAGGCAGGTGCGAAGATGAGGGAAATTTAAAAATTTTGTGAAACTTCGGATGCTCCTTTCTTTTTTTTAATCTTATCTTATCCGACCTTCACTCGCCAACGTGAAGCAGGATCGAACGACTGTGATCGAAGGAATAAAATATAAAGGCTCGCGTTCGGATTGAATTACGTAGAAACTCGAGGCGTCTGCGGGCACAATCTACGGACCCTATTAGTTATCTCTTAGTTGGGTACACAAAAGCCAACCAGCGTGTGTTGTCTCAGCGAGTAATTTCCCTGGTGGCGAACGCGGAATGTAGCAACAACGTCCTTCGCTCCAGGGACACCCCAAAAGTTCCGGGCGCAGACACTGTTGTGCCGTCAGTGGGCATGGTGCTGATTCTAAATTTGGTTCACGTGAACGACGATGTCCTGGTGCTTCCGGTATCCCTAAAACGTACAGTACATTAAGATTTGTTTATTAGCGATAATTAAATGACTTGAATACACACTTTAGGGGTGAACTTACCAAAATGTTATCCTTGAATTCGTTTGTCCACTTGCTTGTCTTCTGATCAGTGATCCTTGCTCTTGACTCTGCAATTATTTGGCACGTTCCCAAAGGATGGCGTCGGTGCAGGTGTCGCGGATTTCAGGATAAAGGATCCTCGGTGGGATTAACGTTCTATCCGACTATCTTATAGGCACCGACAGAGTCGTATCCGCGTATATATATGTCGCCGGCCCATGCTCCTGAAATTGCTAGATGGGATTGGCGCACCAGGAAGAGGTGGTGCGCTAGGAGGCAATGTCGTTGTAGAAGGGATTGATATAACGGAAGGTGGTAGTTTGGTGGAAAAGGATGACGCAGTAGGACAGACTCAGTGGGATGACTGGGGTTTGTTGATTCTTCTTCGTGAGCAGGTTGATGGGATTCCCTTCGAAGGATTGTTCTCGTTCAGTTGCGAAATCGAAGGATCCGATTCCCACTTTCGTCCACTGATTCTCGAACATTCCCAGCATCCCAGGCAGGACCAATATCTTGTTGGTCCAGTAGGTACTTCGACAAGGACCCCATGCCATTTTCTTCTCGATCCTGAAACAGTTTGACAAAGTCCATTTGATGGGTATAACGTTGGGTGTGAACATATTTTTGGTAAAAAATAGTTTGGAAAATACTTTTTTCATAGACACACTATTTTTCCCTTAATCGTCATCCCTTCTATGGTTTAGTTGTCAAGTTAGAAGTCGGGATCAGAAAAATTTCTTTACTGGATCTTCGAGGCACGTAGGCTGCGAAGGAAGAGTAAGGAAGATCTTTTCCCTTTTCGAGTTAACTGTCGGAACTTTTCCACTCTCGTCTCCATTACTCAAGAACAGCCAATGGGACAGGGCAGGGCCGTAGCTAGATGCTCGTAAAGGGTCGTGAAAGAAGTTTCGAGCATGTCTGTATAGAGAAAGAGAGAGATAGAAGCGGAGGAAGACATAAAGCGAATAAGAGAGAGAGAGAGAGAGAGAGAGAGAGAGAGAGAGAGAGAGAGTCTGATAGTACGTTAGTCATGCAGACAACACTTTTCTTCCCTTTTCCACTCACTTGCCCTTTTCTCCCCTATCCTTTCAAGCCGCACCCACTAATCCCTGGTAATTGCAAAGTCAAGGTCGCTAGAACCTTATAGACCGTAAAATCGCGCTATCGAGCGTCCTGTGTAAAGAGCAAAGATGAAAAAAATTGCGCATGCAAAAATAATTGCAAAAAAAGGAGTTAAAAAGTCATTCATTTATTTACTAAAAAAAAAAAAAAAATCTTCCACCATGAATATTGAAACCCATTCCGACACGAAGTTCATCCCTATTCATTCTTTTTTCTTATATTAAAAATTAGGATGTCTATGATCACTCAGGGTATGACGCAATAATAAATATACCCATCAATCGCCATACACTTCACGTCCTCTTCTTGTCTACGAAAGCGACTCAAGGCGTACCTCCAGCGGCGACGACGGTAGCGTAAGTCGACGTCGAGGTGACGACGCATAATCTCCAGCGGCTGTCGCGAAACCCGACGCAGGCCTGTCAAAACCAGACACGCCGTCGAAAAGGGGACGATTAGCGCTTAATCGAGCCTGGGATAGAAGTAGGGAAAGGAAGGAAGGAAAGATGGAACGAGGAATGAACGGATGGAAGAGGCAACGAAGGAAGTTTCCTTCGCCAATGTGAAATCTTCCATATCGCATAAAATCCGCGCAAGGTCAGCCCTTACTCTGGCAAACGCGCGATAATCTTCGCTGAGCGACGCGAAATCCGCAAGTACGCATCGGGACGCCGATCCCGTCTGGTCCATGGGCTCTCGGGCATAGGGTCATTAGTGTGCAAAATCGATGCGCCAAGATTTTGCGCAGCAAATATATTCGCGGATATTCGAATTCGCGATGCTGAAGGGACGTGCTCGTGCCGTGTGATAACCTATGATATATACAGACATATAGAGTACGTGGAGATATAATATATATGCATATACGGATATACTGTTACATGGATAGACCAAGGTACCTACATTACTCGCAATATCCTGATATGAACATTCTCCAAGTACTAAGGGATAGATACCTTGAAGGAGAAAAGAAAGTACAAAGATGCAATTTCAGCATTTTCAATTTGCATACCGAACTGAAACGCTTTTCTCAGCTGAGGCCGCAGAGGCCAACTTGACAAATCGAGGAGCGAGTATATGGTGACAGCGTGTCGATGACTCGTACGCAGTTATCGGACTAAACGAGGGGTATTACCAGGGCTGAGAATGGTATTTTTAAATGACCGATTTGCAATAACTTTTCAATATCTTCGTTAAAGGCGAACGATTATAAGTTATCCCTTGAAAAGTTTCTTGCTTGTTACTTTGACTCTCTTGGCGGGTGAGCACCTTTTTTTATTCCCTTTTTCTGTTATTTCGTCTTTTTCTCCTTTTTTTTTTTTTTTTTTAATACTTCACCCCATTTCGAATCTCGTACGAGAGCTTGAACGGCGTTTAAATCTTACAGATCCTGCACTCTTTATGTTACTTCCATCTAGAGCGATCACGGCGAAACTTCGTACTTTACAGAAACGTCGACCATAAAAATACGTTACTGACGGTCGCGCTGGGATTGCTTCAGCAATGCTCAAATCCTCCTTGTGGCTACACTCGATTTCCTAAACCATCCATTTTTTATTTTATTTTATGAAAGAAGCAGTGTAACATCGCCGGAAAATAATTTGGTATTTTGGATGAGTCAAGTGGTGATTATAAGGTCGTTGCAGTAGTCTAGAGATACGTTGCTATCGCGGAATCCTTGGAATTTAAAATAAGGGTGGTTCGTCTCATAATGTGCCGCGTACCATAACACGAATCCTGCGGTAAATAATTTAATATTGATTTTGATCCAATGGTACTTGATCAGTTTCGTTAAAAATAATATTTGCAATAATAAAATATAATAAAAACAAATAAAAATAAACAAGTATCTCCATAACGGATAGAAATTCTAATGGCGAGTTCAAGGGTCTCGTACCGCAGTATAAATGCCTACTGTAGTTAGAATTTATAACCGCGCGAGGCCTTTGTCCTGAAGCAAATAGCAAGATTCTATCTTGAAGAGCGTCCCTTGTCGTCCCTTTTATTTCATGGAAATTAACGGCAACCGCCAAGTAATTGTCGGACATTAAACTCAGGCAACGTAATTACGAGGGAACAAAGCGTGTCGTTGATCTAGGCGAAGTAAAATACGTAAAATATAATGTGACAAATTTTACTAGGAAACATCAGACAGTCCGTCGATAGCGCGAGTCACCTATCCGCGTAAGCTGTATTTTTAACGTAACTTTTTTTTTATAATGCAAACGATCCAAATTCACAAAACTTTCCACGACCGTTCGGATCCCAGATTCCCTTGCGCGCGACTACGCCCATCGATTTCTCATCGTAGACACTTGTATCCTGCACGTTCAACTCCATCACGTCATCGAACTTAACCAACAACACTCTGGGTACCAGAAAGCCGGCGCAGGCGTGCGAATGAGCTTGACCTTGAAACCCATATAGGAGCTTGCGAATTCCTGAGGTGCTTAGGCCTCACTGATTTCACAGGTAGATGGAGACATCGAGATAAGTCACAGACATACATTGAAGCTTTCGAAAAAAATATATATTTTATATTAATAATGTATCTTGGGTATGATAGCTGTCGCGTTCTGATTACGATACGTGAATATTGCTCTTATTCGATACAACTTTCTCTATTGACGTAACCTGCAGATTCGCTCTATTCTTGTTCAATTTTTCATACCAGACACCGATTGACCTTGAAATTCGCCAAACTCGTGTTTATTGCATCTATCGATTCCGGTAATTCGCGATTTCGTCCCAATTACTTGTTACCGATAAGATTCCGGTTTTAAGAATAATATGTATGTGTATCCTGTTGCTGTCTCTCTCTCTCCTTACAAAATCCTGACCCCTTCACCCTAGTCGTTTCCAGGGAAACACAGATTGAGCGCACCTAAAGGTCTGGTAATGGTTGTGAATAACATATTATTAAATACATTTTCACTGAAAAAAATCAGCCTGGTAGCTATAACATGATTGCATCGTTTTGTTGCTGAACTTGCAGATGGCCTATTGCTCCTGGTGGCCTGTTTTCGCGTCGAGTTATCAACTGATCTAGTATAACTATATACAAATCATTCATTTTCGTCATAAAATAATATGTCAAACAGTTTCTGGTTCTCAACACTAACTAACCTTACCAGCACCGGTCGACCGACCGATTAAAAATTTTTATTTAAAAATTCTTCGTATAATGTCATAGCTTTTTCTATCTGACTTACATGACTTTTTCCTATAAACTACAAATATTAAATTTTTCAATTTCCAACTTCATATTCTCTTTCATTCACCCTGATAAAGATATACACTTACCCTTATCTACCATGGCTGATTTTTTGATGGGTTACGATTACCACCGTCCATCATGAACTTAAATAATAATATTATCGGAGAAAAAATAATGTTACAGTATATAATATGAATATATATACATATAATACATTCAGCCATGCAAATAAAGCATATATAGATACATAGGCCTGTGTCATCATACAAATAAACAGGGTATAGCCACTAGCGATCGTATATCGATGAAGATCAGACAGAGGCGAGTGACGTTACGTTCAAAGCGTCATCAGTTTCATTTTGAGCCGACTTATTTACGTATCAGTTCGTAAGAAAATAGCATCTTAATATGGAACTGACGTGGCGGCGTGATAGTACAACATACGTAAGATCAGTCAATCAGAGAAGAGAGAGTCCGATGACGTCACTGTCTAAATGCGCAAAATCGCTAGTGACTATACCTCGTATATCTGTATGATGGCCTGCGTAATATATATATATATATACAAAATGTAAACTTTTGAGTAATTTACTTATTTCGCTCTGACATCCTTGCGGGGCTGTTCGCTGTTGGAGAAGGAACGCACTCCTTACGTCGTCACGCTAGCTGCTCAAGTTCAGTGCAAATCAGACCAGAAGACGCGACACACTCTGCGGACTCAGGTGCGTTTATTTTTTGTATTCCCTATCTTCTTCAGAAATCTTTCTTCCTGCGAACTGGCAAACCTGCTGCCGGGATTAGCAGGAACCAAAATTCTTAGTGAGAAAAGAGGGCGGAATGATTTCGAGCGTATTTTATGTATATTATCAATTAACCCTTTTAGTGCCGGAGGCCGATATATCGGGCCGCGCTGCACTGGCGAAAAGTGCCAGGGCCGAATATCGGCCCGCACCTTGTAGCGCTTTACTATTCGCATTGCGAGAGATTTCTATCTCAAAATAAATTTATAATACGTTACAAATAGTCTAATTTCATTACGAGAGAATTAAAATAAATAATTTTTCGGTTTAATTTTCCCCTATATTCTATGCCAGTTGACGTTGAGACTGCTTATTTATACGCGAGAGCGATACGGTAGAAAATCGACACGGGCGGCCGGCGCGGCGTCGTGGGACCCTTATCGGATTTTTATTTTTTATGTTTCTTGTGCAATATTACGTATTTTATTAAAAAATATATTGGAAATTTAAAGTATATACTTTACAGTAAACGGTCTATATGAAGTTATGATAAAAAGATGACTTTTTCTGTGTGCAATTACATTTCGAAACAGAGAACTCAATTTTTCTCTATTTTCTTGATCACTTATACCTTTGTTATTTATGTAATTTTCAATGAATATAGAAAAATTAACGTCACTGTTTTATTCTCTATTTTGTCCTTAATACACTGCTTTTTGAATTATGTAAATGTTGCTTTTCGCTTGGTTTTTATGAGCCTTTTCCAAAATCCTAGTAAAATCGTAAAATTTGGCCGATTATCTTCGCATAGGCACCTGTTTTTCGCCCGGCACTAAAAGGGTTAATTAATCAAATAATCCTCGTGCGAGTTCGCTCGACAGTCAAGCCTCGTCGAAGACTGACGAAACGTGGTCGCTCGCATTTGACGTCTAGTCGTACGACCGTTTATCGTTCGTCAGTGGAATCGCAGTCGGTTGTCCATTCTCAACTGGTAAAGACCTTCGATATTTGTATGTGGGTGTCAAGAACTGTGTTAAAATTGTACGCGTGACTGTGAACGACTGAATCACTTTCGGCATAGCTACTGGACTTATCTAGACGTGTTTAATTCATACGATCGAATGCACGCCCATTTGCTCCTACTTAGTCGCGTCCCATATAAACGCATCCTTATGCCTTGGCAATGGTTGTATTTTATGTATATTATCAATTAATTCAACCTATACGTCTATACTGACATCTTTGACGACCTAACCTCCATTTAGCTATTTACGTACGTGTTCACAGTAGCGTCGATCAGTGCCATCAGGAATTAATTTAGTGTACAAACACGAGTTTGATTACTGGATATACTGTATAAAGGATATACACCAGCAATGGATTCTACGATAAAGAACAAGGCTCCACCTTATTTGCCTTCTCAGCCTATGCTGCCGCTAACGCCACCCGCCCAAAACAGCGTGTATTTCCAAAAAGGCGCGGAACTACCTTTTTATCCAAAAGCTCCTCCAATGGATCCTCTTTTACCACCATCGCAAGGCCCATCATCCAATGTTACGATCATCCAGCAACCTCAGGTTCCATCAGCGTCTCCGAAGAATAAAAAACTTAGTGAGTCTATCTAAGTCTAGTCTATCTAAGTAAATTATCTAAGATAACTATCATCGTGTTATGGATTGACATATTTGACAAACTGGTTTTTTTTTCTGTTTTCAGTAATCAGTCTCGTCATCGCCATTATTATAGCAGTTTTCTTAATGGAACTCATCCGTTTTGGAATGCATTATTTTCAGATGGAAATCTGACTTTTTAAGCTGACTTACCGTGATCCTGTTACGTGGTACACCAAATTCCGTAGTAGTGAATCTTTAGACTTTACGATTATTTTTATTTTAAAGCATAAGATCGGCACACAGTGGAACTTCACCTGGTTTATCTAGTAGAGAGACATGTGAGTTATGCGAAGAACCAATCAGATACGAGAAACGATCACGGCGTTTCTCTCTCCCTCCCTCCCCCCCTCTCTCTCTCTCTCTCTCTCACACACACACACACACACCCTCTCTCTCTCTCTCTCTCTCTCTCTGTGCGTACTCTGACAAACGAAAAGGTTAAGACTTGCCCCTTCACTAGGTGAGGTTCCACTGTACTTATAAAGTTCATGACCCGATGACCTGATCCTTGGAAACATAAATCACGATTTGTACGACGAGTTCTAATTTGCCCATCCATACATTTGCCCTGTGCTCCCCTAAACAATACTTCCCCTTTGGCGGGTAAATGCGGAGAAAAAATAGAGACGCACGCGAGGACGCAGTAGAAGACAGTTATTCTGCAACGGGAGGGGCAAGTATAGCGCAGCCAGACAATAAGGACGGCTTCCATGTAA